CCACCCCCATCTTATAGAGCTACATACCTCACCACCCTTACCCTATTTAACTAGACATATTACCACCCCCATCTTATAGAGCTACATACCTCACCACCCTTACCCTATTTAACTAGACATATTACCACCCCCATCTTATAGAACTACATACCTCACCACCCTTACCCTATAGACCTAGATATGTTTCCACCCCCATCTTATAGAGCTACATACCTCACCACCCTTACCCTATTTAACTAGACATATTACCACCCCCATCTTATAGAGCTACATACGTCAGCACCCTTACCCTATGGAGCTAGATATATTGCCACCACCCATATAGGCCTAGATATGTCACCACCCTTACCCTATAGACCTAGATATGACACCACCCCCATCTTATAGAGCTACATACCTCACCACCCTTACCCTATAGACTTAGATATGACACCACCCCCATCTTATAGAGCTACATACCTCACCACCCTTACCCTATAGACCTAGATATTTCACCACCCCCATCTTATAGAGCCTGATATGTCACCACCGCCCAACCTCTGTATGGTGATTCCCTACATCCATCTTGTTTAGGCTGTGTAATGTAAGATGTCATAGCAGCAACTGCTTGCCTTAGTCAGACAGGAATTCCAGTAGGTCACAAATACATTTGCAGTGTATGTGCGTGGGCGCAGTATCAAATGGTGCGAAACTACACCCCATACAGCTCAGTTGGTAATTTCACTTCGATGAACAAGCATCATGTTTGGCGAATTATTTTCACGCATGCCAACGAAATTCTCCAAGATCAGTTCTTTCCGCGTAACCTCGGCGCCTGGCGCTCTCGCGGTCACGCATCCCTGTGCCGTGCTTCGATCGGAGAGGCTTTGTTACGACGTGTCTCTCACGCTCTAGGTGTTTACAACGTGGAACAAGGGCGACCTGGATTCGTTCCTCATCGAAATCACGCGCGACATCCTCAAGTTCAAGGACACGGACGGGAAGTACCTGCTGGAGAAGATAAGGGATTCTGCGGGCCAGAAGGGCACCGGGAAGTGGACTGCCATCGCAGCCCTGCAGTACGGTCAACCGGTCACTCTGATTGGTGCGTGCACACGCGCTGCTGCGTGGTTCGCACGTCGCTTTGTTTTCAGGTCGGCGATTGTCCGGAGTAGTTGCTTGGCAGGATTTCCGATTAATTCTCTAGTGTTAGTAGTCTGCAGTCAATGCCCCCTGTTATGCTTGATAAGTACACTGTTGAGAGTGGAATCTTTGTAGGGTCTTATGTAGTCAATTTGGTCTCACTCACTCAGTACAGTATTGTGGTTTTGTAACTGTATTCATTGTATACCTTGTATATCTGAATTCTGATCTAAATGTGATGTGAAGAATAATGGAGAAATTACTGTGTATCTATTACTCCTATACCCATTTTTAGCTCGCCTTGACATCGTCAAGATGAGCTATTGCCATGGGGTGTCGTTCGTCGTATGTCCGTCCGTCCGTCCGTCCGTCAACATTTGGCTACGGTCAAAGATAACACAAGAACCGTTTGACCCACATGTTTCAAATTGCATATAGTTGTTACTCCTATGGGAGAGGTTTGGACGTCCTATTTTGGAGCACGCCAGTCGACCTACATTCGAGCCACGTCCACTTTTTGTCAAAAATGGAAATGGTCATAAGTCAGTTCAGGTTCAATGGATTTTGCTCATTTCTGGTATGTGAATGAATGAGGACTGGCCCCAAAACATATCACACAGGTTTTGATAATTTTTTTAAATTATGCAAATTAGGTAGATTTTGGCAATTTCACTATGCATTTCAGTGTCTGCCTATGGTCAACGATAACTCAAGAACCGTTTGACACACATGTTTCAAATTGAATACAGTTACTCCTACGGGAGAGATTTGAACTTCCTAATTTGGAGCACTCCAGTCGACCTACTTTCGAGCCATGCCCACTTTTTGGCAAAAATGAAAATGGCCATCTAAATTCATTCGATTTTGTTAAATTTTGGTATGTGAATGT